CCGGGACCAGACTGGCTGTCGCCAGCACTCGAGTGCAAGCGCGCCAAATGTTGCAGATTGGCCCGGGAATCACCTATAAAAGGGGCAGGGAGATTTGGGCGTTGTCGGCGTCTTGTAACCAGTATGCTGAACAGAAATAAAGAGGTTCCTGAGAACTACAACTGCTTCTCGTGTCATTGCCATTTCGCGAAGGACTTAACACTGTCTAACCCACATTTTTCTATCTTATCAAGTAGTAGGTTATGGTCTACTTTGTCAAATGCCTTACTGAAGTCTAAGTAAATTATATCCACAGCATTCCTCTGGTCCACTAATTTTGTCACTTGGTCAAAGAATGCAATAAGATTTGTCTGGCATGATCTGTTTTTGACAAACCCGTGTTGGCTTTTAGTAATGACTTTGTTTGCCTGTAGGTGTTCGCTGATTCGTTGTTTGATTATCTTTTCCAGAATCTTCCCAGGTATTGCGGTCAGGCTGATAGGTCTGTAATTTCCTGGGTCCTTTTTTTCCCCTTTTTTGAAGATGGGAACTACATCAGCTTTTTTCCAGTCCTATGGTAGTTCCCCAGTGTTCCAGGGTCTTTGAAAAATATAGTTCAGTGGTTCTGAGATCGCATCTGCCAGTTCCTTAAGAACCTTGGGGTATAATCCATCTGGTCCTGGTGATTTGAATTCGTCTAGGCTGGACAGGTGTTCACTTACCATTTTCTTGCCTATCTTAACTTGTGTTTCTATTTTGTTTTTTATGGCACTATTTTTGATAGGTTGGTCTGTTTTTTCCTTTTGTGTAAAGACAGATGCAAAAAAGGAGTTAAATAGTTCTGCTTTTCCCCTGTTGCTTGTCACCTTCTTGCCACTTTCACCCACTAATGGACCAATCATTTCCTTCACTTTTTTCTTGTTCTTTATATGTTGAAAGAAGCTTTTTTTGTTATTTTTGACTTTGGTTGCAAGCCTTAGTTCATTTTGAGCCTTAGCTTTCCTCACTTCGTCTTTGCAGGCTCGGGCTATTTGCTGATATTCTGACTTAGTTATGTGTCCCTCTTTCCACTTTCTATACTTGTCCTTTTTATCTTTCAATTGATCAGAGAATTCTTTATGCAGCCATGCTGGTTTCTTTTGAGAGCTGTTATTTTTCCTCTTTGTTGGTATTGTGCCAGACTGGGCCTTTATTATCTCACTTTTCAAAATTTCCCAAGCCTCTTGAGTTGTTTTCCCCTGGAGGATTCTCATCCATGGAATCCTTCCCAAACCCTCTCTAAGTTTATTGAAATTAGCTCTCTTGAAGTCCAAGACTCTAGTTTGACTGTGTTCTATTGCTTGTGCTTTCATAACGTTGAATTCCAATATTGCATGATAACTTCCTCCCAAGGTTCCTATGGCTTCAACACCTTCTATCATTTCAGCTCTGTTAGTGAGGATTAGATCCAATATGGCTAATCCCCTAGTTCCCTTCTCTACTTTTTGGGAGACAAAGTTGTCTGCTAGGTTTGTCAGGAATCTGTTTGATCTTCCTCTTGGTGCAGAGTTTGTCTCCCAGTTGATATCAGGGTAGTTAAAGTCCCCCATTACTATTGTGATATGGTTCCTACATACCTTAGTTAGCTGATTAGCAAAAAGTTCATCTATTTCCTGTGTTTGGTTGGGTGGCCTATAGTATATACCTATGGCAATGTCGTTCCCCCCCCCCTTTTATATTGACCCATATGCATTCAGGACAGTTTTCATCATTGTTGTGCTCTATTTCTGTAGAGATGTAATTATTTCTTATAGAGAGAGCAACTCTACCTCCTCTTTTATTTGGTCTGTTTCTTTTAAATAATTTAAATCCCTCTAGCTGTGTGTTCCATTTGTGGGTTTTGTCCATTATGGCAACAATATCATGATATCTGGGCTGTTTACAAACAACTTGTACTAATAGGTAGTAGCCTATGTCACAAATTCTTCGCAGGGTGACAAAACATACATTTACAAGGTAACCCTTAAACCTAGGTGAGTTATTAGTTTTAAGCAATAGTAAATGTGATAAAAGAAAACTGAGCTCCAATAAGTTTGTGTTTATTTTTATCGATAGATTTAATTTTGTATTAATATAGTAGTTTTTTATCTTTGCTTCCAGTTATTATTGCCTTTATTCCTAATTGATATTTAACTTTGAGTACAAATAATTAAAAGAAAGGTCCTTCTGACCCTGTTTGAAATTCAGTTCTTTTCTCTACTTCAATTCCCTGTGTAAATAACAAGCTTAAGCATCTTTCCACTCATAATTATATAACACATTGACATCAAAGGCATGTTCTGTTCTGGACTGATTGAACCACCATCTTTCTATACAGTACTTCCTGGACAATGCCATGTACTATCAAGACTAATACCTTCATTTTTATCAAACAAGAGTTTCCTCAGAAACTCGCCCCCCCAATAATATATGGAGTATTTGTGGGTAGGCTTCAATATCATTGTTTGTCCCTTTTCCGGTGATCGGCCAAGTTATGGGATATGATATCGTCCTGCCTATTTCTGACAAGCTATTCTAGCTTCCATCTAAATGTTAAAGAATTCAGTTTACTTTCTTTAAGATCCGATCACCTTATATTCTCTTTTGTACTTCCAGTTATCTTTTGCAAATCTGACTGTTTCTGTTAGCAGATAGGTGCACATGATGATAAAAAAATAAATGTGAAACAATCCAACTGGATAGTTTTCCACAGCAGTTTTCTTATTTAGCTGGAGAGTCTATCTCCAGTACAAACATTCCAGGGATCATGAAGTTATTTGTATTCCAAGTGCATTTAATCCCAGCAGGGTGCCCACAGGTGTAAAGGTTGTTGCAACTGCCCGGCTAAACAGGCACTTTTATTGGGCAGCAGCTAGATAGAAGGATAATGGAGGTGGCTAACAGATTGAAAAAAGTCTACATAGCAATACCAAAGGAAAGAGAAAAAGAATAAACAGCAGCAAAATGAATGGACTTGTGATAATGGGCGCACTGTTGGAAGACTGAAGCACTAGATTAAGGATAGATTATCATGGACAAAATCTATCTGTGATCTTTAAGAGTTGATATTGACTTGGCAAATAATCAATCAAATGTTCTTGTGAATGACTATTTTGTTGGATATTTTTTAATCAACTGTTAGGTGCCCCTAAGATGTTTCTGGCAAATAAGAATGAATTTATTATTTGAGTAACACAGCATGTGATACCAATTTGATTGTAGATTTGGTTTCATAATGTCACCTAAAAATTGAGTTCTTTTGGTTTTTATTCATTTCAAAATAGTTTCCAGCAATGTTTTTTTGGTCATAGAATGCACCGGAACGGCATCCGGCACCTTTTTTCAACAGATTTCCAAGTTTTAAAAGTACCACGTTTCCCTGAAAGTAATATTAAGTATATTATTTTTGCCTCCAAAAGAGGTATTAGGTCTTAATTTTGGGGGATGTCTGATATTTTTCATGACAACTGCCTCACCTCGCAGCAGCAGCACTAACAGCCCCATCCAGCAGCTTGCATGGCTGCCGGCCCATTTCTGCTATGACCGCTCGCGTCAGGAGGCCGTGCGGCACATCACACCGCTGCTGCCACAATGAGGCAAGGCAGGTGGGGGAGGGGGTGGAGCTGCCCCATGCACCCTGCACCCACTTACTGGTACTTCAGCCCCCCCCCAGCCAGACCATTCTTTGATTGGTGACCTTTCATTCCCCTCCCAAGCTGGACTGCCATGCTACGATACATGGCATGGGTGGGGTAGGCCTGGTCTCCCTCTGCTGTTTTGGAGCCAGGGGGCAGTGACAGCAAACGGCTCCACTGCTGCTGTGCACCGCTGGAGGGGCTTTCTTTAAGCTTCACCCCGCAGACCACCTGCCTGGGTACAGCTGCCTCCTCCTTGTCCTCCATCAACTCTCCCATGGATTGTGCTGTGACCGGGCGGCACAAGCCTCCTCCGTTGCCTCCCTCCACTAGCCATTTGTTGCCTGTCTCTTGGAGAACAGAGAATGCAGCGACTCTGCACAGGGATGCAGAGCAGAGAACAGCACTTGCTTGCTGCCCTGCATTGCCCCATGTCTCCCTTCTCCCTTCTGGAAATGGTAGCCCTATTTCCTGCCACTTCTCCTCCTGGCACAGCTCCTCCCTCTTCCCAAAAGCATTTCTTTGCTAACCTCCTTTTCAGCCACTGCATTCTTCGTTCTCTGGAAGACATCCCATCCCATCTGCCGTAGCACGGCAGTCCAGCTCAGGAGGGGAGTGAAAGGTCGCCAATCAAGGAATGGCCTAGTGGGGGGGCCTGAAATACCAGTAAGCGGGTGTGGGGCACATTGGGCAGCTCCACCCCCTCACCCACCTTCCTCGCCTTATTGTGGCGGCAGTGGTGTGATGTGCTGCGTGGCCACCTGCCCCATTGTGGCAATGAGATGGGTTGGAGTAGGCAGGGTCCTAACTAGGGCTTATTTTGGGGGTAGGGCATATATTACCCCCCCAAAAAAATCAGGGTAGGTCTTAGTTTAGGGATGGGGCTTATTTTCAGGGAAACATTGTAACTTTTGAAAATTTGATGTTTGGTCCATGTGGACTTGAATCGTCCTGTCGAATTTAGCAGGTCGGCGGTGAAATCATTAAAACAGTGCATGCGGGATGCTTATGTGTCGAGTCCAATGCATGTGTACATCGTGTGATGGCGCTGCTTGGCTTGTGGCACTGCTCAGTTTGTGATTGGTCATATGGTTGCATGCTGAGTGCTTACTGCGGGCCGCAACTGTTATGTTTCATTACACAACTGATATGCATGGGTGTGTGTACAGTGATTGACTACGTGCGAAAGGTGAGTTCCAGCACCTTTTTTCTTACAAAAAAAGCACTGGTTTCCAGAAACATCAAAGTATTTTAAGCAAGATTTCAATATTTGTAGCTTTATAGATCATTAATAGTTTTGGTTAGATTTAAAGATGGTGTTTTGTTTACATGTTTTATTTAAAATATAATTCTTTTTTCTGAACATAGGTTTACAGGACGGCTTATACAAAATTTCCAAGATTGTTGCTGATGCCAAGCATGTAAAGGTGAAGCTGTCTTCTTTCAAAATGGTAATCTACCCAGACCCAGATGCACTTCCAGATGTCCAGCTTCTGTATGTTTAACTATTATTACAGGGTTTTTTTTATAGTAATGGTCCTTTTTGGTAAATGTCATAGTAAAATTTTAATTTATGAGAATGGATATAAAAGTTTCAGTTAAATCAAGCATTCCCAGCAGTCTGATGCTTCCTGCTCCTATTACTCCAGTGATTTCTGAAATTCTCAGGAGAATTTTTAAGTTTAATAAACTTACTCTGAAAGTTGTAATTATCTATTTGGGTGGGGAAGAAGGAAGACCCCAGAACTGAACATTTTTCTCCCTATTTGCCCCATTGAGCAAAGTATGTCTTAAAAGTCCTACTTTTGGATATTTCTCTGTGAACATAAAAAGATTAAATCTCCCCTTGTGCTCCTATATTCATTTATTTATTAACAGTAAATGTTAAGCAAATAATTCTTTTTTTAGGTTAGTTCCTGCATTGAAACTGACTTCTCTTGATGCGTCTCATGCAAGTCTGCTGAATAACACCTGGTCCAGAGGAGGCAGTGACCAATGTCAGAAATACCTCATCAACCTCATTTGCTGTTTCCCCAGCATATGCATTTTGGATGAACATAGATGCCCCATCTCCTGGGGTCTGACAGACCAGTTTGCTACTATGATCCATGGCTATACATTGCCCGAGCATCGTAGGAAAGGGTACAACCGTCTCATTGCAACTATTCTAGCTAAGATGTTACACAGCAAGGGGTTTCCAGCTCAAGGAAATGTTTTGGAGGATAACCTTGCATCATTAACTCTGCTAAAAAGCATGAATGCCATATTCTTACCTTGTCAGTTTGTCAGACTTATCCACACCCCTTTTTGCCTTTTAGCTAAACCTGAGTGACCTGGTGGATTTTTAAAAAAATCTATGATGGTTGGAAAATGTAGCTACCTAATTTGGGGAATCAAACCTTGTATTTGATGTTATACATTTCTGAACATGTTACGATATATTTAGACAAACCTTGAAGTCCATTTATGAAATGGCAATGCTATTCCACCTTAAAGTTAATACAACTTTTAAAGGAACAACAGTTGTTTTCAACTGTAGACAGACGCCTGATAAGAGATCTGACTGCTTTAACAAATAATAGGGTAGTGTCAGTGGTGGGACTCAAATATGTGAAGAATCAGTTCTGTGTGTGGGGATGCTGTTTCCAGAAGTCCATTCTGGGCTTAGGCAACAAAAAATTAGCTACCTGTTCTGCCGAAGTGGTGCAAACTGGCTGAATCCCACCACGGGGTAGTGCTGTCCTCATGCTTGATTGGAAGCACTTATGGATAATTGTTTTCATAGAATGCAAAGACTTTTTAAATTTACCAACTCAAATCATTTAATCTTTTCCATATTACTACCCTGAAATACCAGTAGATGTGATGAATATAGTAAGGAGAGAGGGAGGTGCATTTTAGAAGAGTAAAAGGCAATTCAATTCAGATTTTATGTGTGTGAGAAATAGGGTGAAGAAAGCTTTTCCCTTTGCAGAGTATATTCTTTAGTAGTAGAGTGCTCAGTCTGGTAAGATTTTGTGTAGATTTTTACAATTCAGGTTTTAAACAACATATGAAACCTAAATAATATAGAGACCCAGTTTGGTCTAGCGATCAAGGTACTAGGCTAGAAAGCTGGATATCATGAGTTCAAGTTTCATCTTAGCCCTGAATACCACATGGGTGACTTGGGCCAGTCACACACTCTCAGGCAAACTACCTCACAGGGTTGTTGTAGGAAAATAGGAGGAAGATGTGTTAGATATGTTCACCACCTTGGGTTGTTTGTAAAAATAATAAAGATGGAAGACAAATAAATAAAAAATAAATGTGGAATTCTGTTGTTAGATTTTGCCTCTCTGTCAAAATAAAATCATTTCAAAGGCTGAGGAAACACCATATGATTTCTTTCTGTCAGATCAATGTAACAAAGCACAGGTTTTGTAAGGCATTGGGGGGGGGGGGAGTCGAAAACAAGGAATGAAGTCCAGATCATCTTTAGATGTTCCTGGGGGTGGCTGGAAGGTAAATCTCTGAAGGAGATTGGTAAAGAAGAAGAGCTCCATTTTGGCAAGGTTCTCCCTAACACGTACTCTCTGACCTGGAAGAAAACATACATGACAAAATAGTTGGGTTTATTGCTTTCTTAAAATATTTTAAAGTATAGCTTCCCAATGTCACATTGTCCCAAAGGAATAATTACATTCTTAGAGATTTAAATGCTAAAAATATATCTTCTTAAAATATGTTAACCTAGGAATCCTTCTTAATACATATATAAATGCAGTGATTTTTACATTTTCTTCCTTTACATAGGCAATTTCAACCATCTGTTCAAGCTTGAGAGAAAGAAAAATGAGCATCCTGCTAACAAAGATTTTTATTTGAATAATCCTTGTGGCATTTTATAGATTTTCATAGATTCCTTAGTACTAGCAAGGAGCATATCAGTCTTATTCCAGTTAACTGGATAACCTGATAAATTGCTAAAATTTATATTAGCATCAATATATTTTGACAAAGAACATTCATAGTTGTTAATTATTGGCTTTACCTTTAGCATTGCCTTATAAAGCCTTTTCAAATTCATCATGTGCAGATTTCCCAAAATGGATATTGTTCTGGGTCCAGGTGGAAGATGTTGAGAGCTGTTACTCTGGGAACTACCCATTTTGAAAAGGAATATAACTGAAAGAATGGATAGTAATACTAATAAAACAAGTCCAGTCCAAGCCATTTTCTTTCAGAACACAACATGGTGGTGAAGTAAAGGGAGACTTGTCTTCAGAGGATCTGTGAGGCATGCAGCTTCCCTTATATAGGGGTAGTGTGAACCTGATTATTTTCTTTGATGGGTGGAATTTTTTCTGACCAATAATTTTGCTGAAGGCCTTTGTTCAACCCACCTCTTCATCTGACTGGTCCTTGAACGGGGCAGGGGGGGGGGAATGTAAGCTCTCTCATTTGGTCTTATGAGGCCAACAATAACTGCTTTCACTGCCTATGACTCTTCCAAATGACAAACATTACAAATATTGGGTTATTATCCACATAAGCACCATCTGCTACCTCCACATCTATAAGGTTGGTTAACAGTAAAGTAGAAATTGAACATGTATCTAGCCTTAAATAAGTTTTATGAACTGACTTCACTCTGTAGGACACATCCCAGAGATATAGCAATGACATATATGCAGAAACATTTTCAGGAGTTTGCCAAAGCTTCTTTGGGATAAAATCATTTTAACCATATAAGAGGGGAGGGAACAATCATAATCATATCTAAAATGATTAAGATATTGTATTTTCCTTTGCATTTTCAAGAAAAATTGAAGTAGAAAAAAACTATAAAAATATTTCACAGAACTTTATTTTGATATTCTGCTCATAAATCAAAACAACTGTTATTTTCCAGATTCAGTCTAAAAGCTTAATATTATGCATTTTCCATCCTGATCTGGGATTTTTTTCTCTAGAAGTCATGATAAAAGTTCATATAGCTACTCCACTTTTTTTCAATCTATTTAAGGCCATACATTTTTGATAGAGATTATTTACATTTAACAGATTGACATCAATGCTTCCAATATGTGTCTGTTGAAGGCACAAAACATGTCTCCTTTCTTTTATTCAACTAAAAAAAATCCCCTTTAAGGGAAGGCTATTCAACCTAGCCTTTTAAAGAAAGGCTAATTCATCTGAGCTGTCAGGCTATTCAACCTGACAATACAGTGTTCTAATCAATCTCATCCCAGTTAAACTTCTAATCTGGTAACACAACTGGCTGCCTATCCAATACATTATTTCAAAGGTTGTAAAATTTTTAATTTTAGTCCTCAGTATATTATCAGATTATATAAAATCAGTTGCTCATCTCTGCCAGTAATTTAGTATTTTTTTCCAGTTTCTTGTAGGAATATATTTGAACAAAATCTTCAGCCTTGTCAAGATGTTCATCCCAACTGAGACAGTTACAGGTTTTTCTACTTGAAATATCTGCCATTCTGTTTCGAAGAATATCTAGCAATAAGTATCTCCAAATAAACCTTTTTTATTTTTTGTAAAATAAATTCCAAATAATATTAAAGTTTGCTGTTTCTTATTGTACTACTTTGTTTTCCACAGCTACGTTCTGTGTTAACATGTGATTTTGAATTACCTAATATCCTAACAATAAGGTACATTACTATAGATATGAATTACAATTTTCTGACATATATGTACTGTATTTCTCAGTTATAGTGGTACTGCTTATAAAACACATCAGAGAACTGGTCAAAGGAGTAAGCAGACTGAATTGCTTCAATATTTTAGAAGCATTCCTTACCATAAGAATCAGAACAGAAATCTATGTAGCAGATACTGTACATTTGCTACTTTGTCCATGATACATTTTTGACTCTTGATTCCTTTTTGGATATAAATAGCTATTTCTTGCCCACCTTTGTAATTTAATGATGCAAAGGCATCTGCAATATGAATGCAAGAAATTGATATACTTTGGTTAATAATTCATTCTGCAATCACAATTACAAGGGTAGAAGTATAATTTTAAATTGATTCTCTCATTTGAAGATATAGGTCATTTATGTTTTAGGAGTAAGAATGACAGAATAATGATGAAGATACATGTGAAAACAGAATAACAGAGTTGGAAGGGACCTTGGCGGTCTTCTCATCCAACCCGCTGCTCAAGCAGGAGACCTTATACCATTTTGGGCAAGTGGTTGTCCAGTCTCTTCTTAAAACCTCCAGTGTTGGAGCATTCACCGCTTCTGGAGGCAGGTTGTTCCATTGGTTAATTGTTCTGTCAGGAAATTTTTCCTTAGTTCTAGGTTATTTCTCTCCTTGATTAGTTTATCTCCCAAGAAAGCAGAACTCTTGAAACTGGAATTGTTTCAACAAGAACTTTTACTGAGGGTTAGTGATTGCTATAAAGCAAGGCAATATCTAAATTCTTCCCACGCAAAATGTCATATTAAAACTGCCCTTTCAAACCCTTCCCCAGTGTCCAACTATCCGGTTTGATTTTAGCCAATTCATAGGTGTGAAGTTGTTATGAGAACCAGAGCAATAAAATGCAGTTCCCAAGGTTTCCGTGGTCCCATCTCATCCAAACGGAGATAAGGCAGATGGCTGCAGGCACATCCCTTCCACTTTTTACACCCAGAAAGCATCACTTCAAAGAAGATAGAACAAAGCAAAAGAAATACATCTCAGAGCCCACAGAATCTCCCCCCCCCCCGCTCAACAGAATGGCAGTAATTGGAAATGCACTGAGGGTCTGACACTAGGATTGCATTAGCTTTTTTTGGTGGCTGCAGCACACTGTTAGCTCATATTTAAGTGATTGTCCACTAGGACCCCAAGATCTCTCTTGCAGTTACTGCTATTGAGTCATGTTTCACCTAATCTGTACCTGTACATTTGGTTTTTCTTGCCTATGTTTAAAACCTTACTTTTATCTACACTGAATTTCATTTTGTTAGATAGGGCCCAGTGTTTAAGTCTGCCAAGATTTTATCTAGATCATAAGCCTATCATCAGGGCTGTTGGCTATTCTTGCCAGCTTTGTGTCATTGCAAACCTGATGAGTTCCTCTTCTCTTCTCTCAATTAAATTGCGTATAAAGATATTGAAGATTACTGAATCTAAAACAGAACCTTGGGGTACCCCACTGCTTACCTCCCTCTGTATAGATGTAGTTCCATTAAGTAGTTGTAAGTAACTACATGTAGTTGGAACTAGAGAAAGGAACCTCATCAAATTTGCAGCGGGGGTACCCTAAGGTTCTATTTTAGGCCTAGTAAACTTCAATATCTTTATAAATGATTGTAGATGTAGTTCTATTAAGGACTACATGAGTGTAGTTTGTCAGCCAGTTATAAATCCATTTGGTGGTGATGCTGTCTATCCCACATTTTTCTAGCTTAGCAAGAAATAGATTGTATTCTACACTGTCAAATGACTTATTGAAACCCAGGTATACTATGTCCACAGCATAACATTGAAGCCAAGCAGTTTAGAATCTGGACTTTTTCAATTATTATTGGTTTTTTTTTTTTTGCTAACATTGATAATCTGTAACAAACAAATGCATTTATATGTATTTAGAATTATTGTGGAAAAACCTATATTGCTTAAATAACAAAAAGCAGAACTAACAAAACTGAAGAGGATAAAAAATAGTAAAAGATAAAAGGTAACAAAACAAAATAATCAATAAGAGTACAAATTACTTAGCATGATTTCCCTACTCTTTTCACTCTCGGAATCTAGATTTTGTGTGCATGCAAATCATTATAGTACAGTTTCAGACAGCCTCTTAAGCCAAGACCATACAGAATCACATTATCCAAGGCTGAGAAATGGCTATCACGAAGGCCTTTTGTCTTATGAACATGGAATAGCACAGGTCTTGTAAGACATAGGAGGGGTTGTAATTCCAATTGCAGGTGTTAGATCCAGGTCATCTTTAGATGTTCCCGGGGGTGTCTGGAAGGTAAATTTCTGCAGGAGGCTGGTGAAGAAGAGGAAGAGCTCCATTTTGGCAAGGTTCTCACCTGCACATACTCTCCGACCTGGAAAAAAAGCATACATGGCAAAAAAAAGTGCTTATTGGGTTCTTTAATTATTTTACATAGGTTCCCATTGTCAGATTGTCATGGAGAGACAAATAAGACAAAACATTATGACAAAACACTCATGTAAAATACAGCAATAAAATAAAAATGAATTGTATCATAAGCATGCTAATCTTAAAAGAAGGCTGAACCTTCGTAAGTACCATTCTACACTGATTGATTCTACAAGCTAGTAAGGACTGTGATGTTGATGTTGTCATACACCTTGGCACCAACAACCTGTCTGTCTGTGCAGAAATATCTCCAGAGCTTGCAGCGGGAACTTAGATGGATAGGCTATAGTCTTACCTTTTCAAGGTTTTACCTGTATATAAGGAGCAAAAAGGAAAAGGCCAGCATATAATGGAGTTCAATGTGTGGCTAAAGGAGTTATATTAGTTATGATGTCTGCAGGAGGTCTAATGAAAAGCTATACAAAAGAAATGGTTGGCATCCATCAAAGAAAGGAACTGAATTATTTGGCATTAAAATCAGGGATTTTCTGGAGAAATATTTAAACTAAATAATGGGGACAGAGAGTTAATTGATAAAGAACATTTCTGTCCCCAGCAATCTAAAACTAATAGGGTTATCAGTACTTGTAACATAGATGTCTGTGAGGGTAAGAATATCAACCTTTCTGTCAAGGAAAATCAAGCTTTTGATAATGTGCACTATACCATCATGTGCACTAATCAAACAGGTGGTAAGGAAGTAGGGGAACTCAGACACAAAACAGGTTATATAGAAAATAAATATAGGATCAGTCAAAAAGGACTCAAATGTCTCTACACCAATGGACAGAGTATGAGGAATAAACAGGGTAAATTAGAAATTCAAGTAAAATGTGGGCAGATATGATATTGTTGCCATTACAGAAACTTGGTGTGATGAAACCCATCAATGGAATATACAGCTAGAGGGATTTAAATTATTTAAAAGAAACAGACCAAATAAAAGAAGGAGGTGGAGTTGCACTATATATAAGAAATAACTACATCTCTAAAGAAATAGAGCAGAACAATGATGAAAACTGTCTTGAATGTATTTGGGTCAATATAAAAGAGGGAAAAAATGACTGTCACAGGTGTATACTATAGGCCACCTAACCAAAAAGAGGAAATAGAGAATGTTTTGCTAGTCAGTTAATTAAGGTATGTAGGAAGCACATCACAACAGTAATGGGGGACTTTAACTACCCCGACATCAACTGGGAGGCAAACTGCACTGAGAGAAAGATCAGGTTCCTGACAAACCTAGCAGAAAACTTTCTCTCCCAAAAAGTAAAGAAGGGAACTAGGCGATCAGCCATATTCTCACTAACAGAGATGAAATGATAGAAGGTGCTGAAGCCACAGGAACCTTGTGGGGGAGTGATCATGCAATATTGGAATTCAACATTATGCAAGCACAAGCAATAAAACGTAGTCAAACTAGAGTCTTAGATTTTAAGAGAGCTAATTTTAATAAACTTAGAGACTGGGAAGGATTCCATGGATGAGAATTCTCAAGGGGAAAACAACCCAAGAAGCTTGGGAAACTTTGAAAAGCGGGATTATAAAAATGCAGTCTAGCACAATACCAACAAAGAATAAAAATAACAGCTCTCCAAAGAAACCAGTATGGCTGCATAAAGAACTCTCTGATTAATTGAAAGACAAAAAATGAACTCAAAATGAACTAAGGCTTGTGACCAAAATAAAAAATAACAAAAAATGCTTATTTCAATATGTAAAAAAGAAGAAATTAGTCAAGGAAACAATTGATCCATTTATGGGAGAAAGTAGCAAGAAGATGGCAAGCAACAAGGAGAAAGGAGAACTGCTTAATTCATTTTTTTTGCATCTGTCTTTACACAAAAGGAAAAAAAAAACAGTCCAATCTATCAAAAACAGTACCATAAAAAACAGAATAGGAGTACAAGTTAAAATAGGTAAGAAAATGGTAAGAGAGCACCTGTTCACTCTAGACAAGTTCAAATCACCAGGACCAGATGGATTATACCCCAAATAAATAAAGTTCCTTATTCTGAAGAAACTGGCAGATGTAATCTCTGACCCACTGAATTATATCTTTCAAAGATCCTCAAGCACCGGGGAACTACCAGAGGACTGGAAAAGAACTGATGTAGTTCCCATCTTCAAAAAAAGAAAAAAAATAGATCCTGGACACTACAGAGTATCAGTATATCAACATTCTGGAAAACATAATCAAACAACGAATCTGCGAACATCTAGAGGCAAAAAAAGTCATAACCAAAAACTAACATGGGCTTGTCAAAAATAGATCATGCCGGACAAATCTTATTGCATTCTTTGACAAAGTAATAAAGTAACAAAATTAGTGGACCAGAGAAAGGCTGTGGATGTAATTTACTTGGACTTCAGTAAGGCATTTGATAAAGTAGACCACAATCTGCTACTGATAAGATAGAAAAATGTGGGTTAGACAGCATTATCACCAGATGGATTTATAACTGACCAACTACACTCAAAATGTAGTCCTCAATGGAACTGCATCTACATGGATGGAAGTATTCCATGGGATAATCCAAGGCTCTCTTTTAGGCCCAGTGCTCTTCAACATCTTCATCAATGATTTGGATGAGGGAATAGATGGGGAACTCAACAAATTTGCAGGTGACACTAATCTGGCAGAAATAACTAACATTCAAGAAGATAAGCTTCAGACACAGAATGATCTAGACAGACTTGAACATTGGGCACTATCTAACAAAATGAAATTCAATAGTGAAAAAAAGTAAGGTTCTACATTTAGGCAAGAAAAAACAAATGCACAGGTATAGTATAGGTGGTACCTGGCTCATTAGTAGTAACTGTAAAAGGGATCTTGGAGGCCTAGTGGACAATCATTTAAATATGAGCCAGCAGTATGCTGCAGCTGCTAAAAAAGCCAACACAGTTCTAGGTTCCATTAACAGAGGAATTGAATCAAGATCAAATAATACCACTTTAAAATGCCCTAGTAAGACCACACTTGGAATACTGCATGCAGCATGGTTGCCACAATGTAAAAAATATATTAAGATTCTAGAAAGAATGCAGAGTAGAGCAATAAAGATGATTAGAAGACTGAAGGCTAAAACATATAAAGAACGGTTGCTGGGATTGGGTATGTCTAGTTTAATGAAAAGAAGGACTAGGGGTGACAGGATAGCAGTTTTCCAATATCTCAGGGGTTGCCACAAAGAAGAGGGATTCAAGCTATTCTCCAAAGCACCTGAAGGCAGGACAAGAAACAATGGAAGGAAACTAGTCAAGGAAAGAAGCAACCTAGAACTAAGGAGAAATTTCCTGACAGTTAAAACAATCAACCTATGGAACAACTTGCCCTCCAGAAGCTGTTAATGCTCCAAGTTATGAATGCTGGAAATCTTTAAGAAGAGATTGACAACCATTTGTCTGAAATTGTATAGGGTTTCCTGCCTGAGCAGGGGCTTGGACTAGAAGACCTCCAAGGTCCCTTCCTGCTGTGTTATTCTATTATTGTATTATTCTGAACAGAAGGTTGACTGAACATTCCACTCTATGTAGAGATAGTTATTACAACTACAGGAATACTTTTATTGAAAGATCATTGTGGAGAGAGGGGACATCTATTAAATCTTCCTTTAAACTCTTTTGGTTGTCAGAATGATCCATAAGCTCAATAATTAATCTTGTAGTTTTTAGGAGGAAAGGTATGCATTAATATTTTCTACTATTTACAGCATGAGGTTTTTTTTCAATGAATGAGTTAGACCAGAGGTCCCCACCATTTCCAGTTTGGTGGCCTGGAGGGAAAGGGAGGAGCAGGTAAATTTGCTTGCATGCCACACAAAAACAGCCACGTGCACCTGCAGTGGCATTGGCGGCAGCACTAGCGCCCGCGTTCATACACAAATGAGCCACTAGAGCCTGCACAAAGCTGGTGATAGCACTAGTGCCCATGTGCATGTGCAAATGGGACTGCTAGCACCTGCACACATGGGCAAACAGGGATACTAATGCTCACACACATGGGCAAACGGGGTCACTAGTGATCATGCAGCGGCTAGCCCCCTCGTGGCGGCACTAGCATGAGTGGGGGGAGTTCATGCACACATGTCCACACTCACCATACATTCCTATGGCCTGGTGGCCAACAGGCCATGGACCGGTACTGGGCCATGGCCCACAGGCTGGGGACCCCTGAGTTAGACAATTTCCAATAATATCTTCATGTCCTTAACAAGTATCTTCAGCCCTTCATTTTGATAACAATTGATTTCAGATATATAGTGGTTTAAGAACCTTGAATGGTGATGACAATCTAGTGATGACATAAACAATGTCTTTGTGAGTTAGATATGACTGCCATTACATCATAGATTCCTTCAGAGAATCATAGGAAGGGACATTGAAGGACCTTGGTATTAATCTCAGAAGTTCATAAATATTTCCATAAACTATCTCTGTGATAGTTTTTTTGCTGTTGTTTTATGTTCAAAAGCCTAACTGTTTTTAGAAAATGGTTGCCATAGTAGTACAGTGTAAGTTTATGGCAGCATCAGGCAATCTTGTGTCTAAACTCTGTTAAATTGGAAGTTTAATACATCATGATTTTATTACTACTTTTTCAAATGTTCCGCTGTGTCTTGTGAACATTTCTTTCCAAAATATAAAGCATTCGTATTATGCGTGGACACATACACACATGTATAGAGAATATTACCTGCAGAAAAAGGCATGAATGCATCTCTTTTCACAAATTTTCCTTCAGAATCAAGAAAATGCTCAGGATAGAATTCATAGGGTTTCTCCCACTGAGACTCATCATGGAGCACTGATGATAGCAATGGAACAATATGCATACCCTAAACATCAAAAGGAAAAAATCTATATTTAAAAGTGTGTCTATTTAATATATTGCTATAAAAATAATTAAATTTTTAAAACAGCATTGGAAATGTATGAATTTTTAAATAATGAAAGGTAAGTACTAGACAAGGAGAAACACAAATTTCAAAAACACTTTAAGGAAAAATAGGGAAATAGATTATCAGTGCTCAATAACTCCTATGTAAAATGGCTTATCTTTGTAATAAAAAGATTGGAATCTGAACAGTGCATTGATTTTAGACTGATCACCTTGGGGATGAAGAAGCCTTTGAAAGTTATGTCCATGGTGGTTGCATGTGGCAAGTTGGCTGGAATAATATCAGCAAATCTTTGAATTTCATGAATTACTGCATTGGTGTAAGGCATTTTGGCTCGGTCGTCTGTCCTTGGCTGACGAACCCCAATCTCTTTTGCAATTTCTTCTTGGACCTTACCTGGGATGATAGATTATGTATCAAGATGACTCATTGCTTAAATTTTGTTTTAAATGAGAGTTTATGCAAAAATTTTAAATTGTGGAGGATAAAACATGAAGAATTGGTTGCACAGTCTTCGACTTAAACCATTTATTTACAAATTGTTTGAAGTTACAATGGCACTGAAAAAATTATGCACGACCAATCCTCACACTCTCGACCATCATAGCACCCCTGGGGTTATGAGATCAAAATCTAGGCACTTGGCAACCAGCATGTATTTATGATAGTTGCAGCTCCCTGTGGTCACGTGATAGTAATTTGTGAGCTTTACAGCTGGCTTCTGACAAGCAGGGTCAATGTGGGAAGCCCAATTTGTTCAATGACCACATGATTCAACTAACAATTGTGGTGATTCACTTAACTGCTGCAAAAAATATTTTAAAATTGGGTATGATTCATTTAACAACTGCCTTGCTTAGCAATGGAAGTTCTGGTTCCAGTTGTAGTTGAAGTTGATGGCTATCTGTACATTAGAGAAACACAATATTTATCTCTGAAGAAAATAGATACAGAAAATGTTAGTGACAATTTTTAAAAATGATAAGGATAATATTTAAAAGTTTTAACTTACTTAAGTAGATTCAGAAATATTAAATAGCTAAATACATTTGTAGTGCATACCTAAGAACACAAAGCTTTGATTTTTTTGTTAGCATTTTGCCATCTTTTTCCTTGTTTATGAATATGAGATGGACTACTAATTGACTATTAGTTTACATTTTCAAACCATAGAAAGAATTAAATGTTGGGTGGAGCACATAGAGATGAGTCAAGATCATATCATGGTTGGAATATATTATTCTTCACAGAACAGTCCCTTCAGTTTTGGCTCATATTAAGATGTGATGTACTCTTCTTCTAAGAAATAGTAGAATGGGGTAATAAGAATATAAAATGAAGCATACATGTGTGAACTCTCAATGCAGAAATATCTTAAACCTCTTCATATTCTCACATTGAGGAGTTCTTTAATATCAACAGAGAGGACAATTAATTCTTACTTCCTATTTTCTCTTGTTCATCTAGTAATCTTTTAATTACTATTCTACTTTTGATTGAAAGCCAATAAAATGAAACATGCTTACTCTGGATTTCTGGGTACTTCATCATCAGGAGTATGGCCCAGCGCAGAGTGTTAGCAGTTGTTTCTGTACCAGCACCAAATAAGTTACCCGAAATAGCTTTAAGATTTTCATTATGGAAATATCCATTAGTCATCTTCTTACTCTCCTGAGGTGTATTTAAAAAAGAGAAGTACTATCAAGGAAACACAATATATTTATACAACCAATTTATACAAATTCCAGAAGACTAATAGGAACTTCTTCAGTGGATTATGTACTTTAGTGGAGTCTAGATTAGGGGGCATCTTTTACCTTTTACAAAATGATAAAGGACTATTGAAGTTGTCATCCAAAAACAGTGAGAGATGTTGTACTTCTTTACAGCAATGGAAATAAAAGAGTGAATGTCTAGAAAACTCATCTATAAGTCAGGAATATTGACAACTATACAGAGAAAAATATTGACATAGTGTATTGAACCTGCTATATATTAATGTCCTTCCTTTGTTTGTTTTTATTTCACCTTTTTCTCTAAAAGTAAAGCTTATAGAGTCTGATAAGACAGTCTCTGTCATCAGTCTAAAATATATAATTGGCAAAAGGAAGAACAGAAGGAAGAAATGAAGGGCATCATTCCCAAAAAATTAGACCATAGAATTATAACTAGGGTGGAAAACACTGTCAGGAGAATGGGCTGCTTAGGAACTTTTCCCGTGAAGGACTTCCCCCAAGATTGCATGCTGAGGGGCAGGCAATTTTTTCTGTCCTTTCACTGAACAGCTGATTTTCTCACCAAAGCTGGCTATGTGGTAGCTTTTCTCCTTAGAAATGAATGTGAGCAACTAGGAAGGACTTAAGAAGATTTTTGGATGATCATGAACCTTTGGAGTAGAGAGATCTTGAAGACTGCAATCCTTGGTAGTGAGCGATTGGAAGTTTGGGTCCTTTACCACATTTTCCCTTCAGCTGTTCATTTGTTTTAAGCACACCTTGGTTTTAATTGTACAGTTTTATTGCACTGAGATAACCCAGGAGTAAACACAGTAAACAGTGGTCTATATTAAATGGTGGTTTATCTTACACTATCTACAATATCATACACCAGGAACAATGTACATTCATGTGTTAATACAGCAGTCTCAAACACATAGCAGTTACAGCAGGAAAAGGAAGAGAGAGAACACAGCAGCAGAGCCTTTCTTGTATACAAAGCTCTTAAAGAGACACATACCCTGCTGAGTCATTCCCATCATTACATCTTACATTATATCAGTTAGTTAGCTTTTAAATCATTACCTTGACACTCCTCCCATTTAAAGCTAAACAGCTGTTAACCCAAATGCTTTTATATATTCTTGATGCTTGCCTGAATTTAAAGGCTTAGTCAGCATATGAACATTCCTTCTCTGTGTAAATCCTTGTGCAACTAGTCATGCTTTATACTGCAGTTCATTATTGTGTAAAACCTTCTTTTTATATACCCATTTACACCCCACAGCCTTTGTTCCTTCTGATAATTTCATAAGGATAAACACCTGATGCACATTCATAGACTCCATTTCTCTGTCCATAGCCTCCTTCCATTTATCCTGTTCTACTTGAGGCAATGACAACATCTCTTGGTAATTACGGATTCATACCTTACACTATACACTCTAACTCCACTTGCCGAAAACTGATCAGGAGGTAAGCCTTTATTGCTATGTTCAGACCTCCTTGGGATCATCTGTTCCTGTGTTTCTATTACTTCTCTCTTTACCTCAGGTCTATCCTCTTCTATTCCTACTATTTCTGACCTGTTATTCTGTTCTTCCTTCATTGGGATTTGTGTAGTCTCTCCTTCCTGAGAACTAGCACTACATGTTGGCATGAACATCTTAGTGTTAGCATGTACCCTGTCCCAATTGTTTTGTTCTGCAAAATTAGCAGACCTTGAAATCACAACCTTCTTTGTTCCATCCATGAATCTATACCTTTTGGAACCTGGCTCATATCCAACAAATCTAAGTTTCCTGACCTTTTTCTGTCCCTTCCTTCTGCTGGCTTTGGGGATATGCACCCAGGCATAACTGCCAAATGTCCTTAGGTGAGCCAATGAAGGTTTCCTTCCATATGGAGTTTCATTGATAGCAACATTCCATACACTGTTTACTAGATAGTTGGCTGTTTTCATGGCTTCCCAGTACATTTTACTCATTTCTGCATCTGCCAACAATGAGTCTTTCATAGTTTGCAAAATGCCATTCCTGCATTCAGCTACCCCATTTTCTACTGGTGAGTATGGGTTTGTACATCTATGCCAGGGGTAGGCAATCTTGGCTCTTTTATGACTCATGGACTTCAACTCCCAGAATTCCTGAGCTAGCATGGCTGGTTCAGGAATTCTGGGAGTTGAAGTCCACGAGTCATAAAAGAGCCAAGGTTGCCTACCCCTGGTCTATGCCTTATGCCTCAGTTCCTCAGCCACTTTTGGAAGTTGTCAGACATAAACTCTGTTCCCCCGTCTGTTTGCAGCTGGCATATTTTATGGCCATATCTTCACTTTACAAAGTTTACCCATTGCCTGAACTGTTGAAGAACTTCTGTTTTGCTCTGTAATAAATAAAAAACCCCTATCTGGTGTAGTCGTCTACTAAGACTAGTACATACCTAGCTCCTCTTAGAGAGGGCACCATAGGACCAATTAAATCAGTTTGCACTAACTATAAAACTTTGTTTGCCTTGAGCTTTTCTTACTTACAGGATACACTTTTGACTTTGAATCCTTACAAATAGCGCAATCTAAATACAGTATGTGTTGCATTGCTTAATGTGTAGTCCTTCAGCATCCTTTGCAACACTCTAAAACTTGCATGACATAACCTCCTATGTAATAGATGTATGCAATTATTATGTCTGGGAGTGTTTGTAAATATTCGTATACAACCATCCTGCTGCTTTCCTAACACGTATAAATTGTCTAGCTTAATACCTTGTACACAAATCTTCCCACCTTTCCTAATGATGTATTGACCCTTTGCAAACATTACTTCAAACCCCATATTATCTAAGCTCGAAATGCTGAGTAAATTATGGTCTAACTCTGGTACATATAATACATTATCCATTTCTCCTATACCAGTTACATAAACTTTACCTTCCCCTTTAACAACGGACTGTTGTCCATTTGCCAAGCTAACAAATGTTTGTTTAGCTGGTCTTAGGTTTGAAAACATTTGTGGGTCATTTGCAATTTGCTGACTCGCCTGACTGTCCAACACCCAAGTGTTTTTCTCTGTTAAAGTTGCTGCCAGGGAAAATGTCAGTTGTGTAGTTCTACGATCATGTTTCTCTGCTCCTCTGTTTCTCCTCTCAGGGCAGCATCTTTGGAGATGCTCTGTACAACCACATGTAAAGCAGTGTTTCACCATGCAAACGTTCTCGGCTGCTTTACTGGCATCTTTGGATGTTGCAGCTGTAGGCCTGGTCTCTGTGTTGTCATCACCTCCTCTCTGCTGCTTTTCCAGCCATTTCTGTTCCTCCCAGCCAGTCAAATAACTTATGGTTAAGTCCCTTGCTTGCATGGCCTCTAACCTGGTCACTAAGACATCCCATGAAGTGTCCAATGAACTGAGCACCACCTACCTCTTATGTGCCTCAATAAAAATCATTCCTCTTTCCTCTAACTCTAGGAATGTCTTTCTCATGGACTGCTGAGCCTTATATAGGTTTCTTGTCAGCATTACTTTGCTGCTTGCAGTCTCTCTCATGTACACACTGTGCAAAGCTTCCCAACACTCTTTAGCAGACTGGAGACCCCTCACGTGTATCAGCTGGCTATCCTCCAAACTCAGGATTATGCTGGCCAATGCTTTCTCATTCTTTCTCCAGTCCCCATCATCCAGGGCTACAGGTGGATTAGCAACTATCGTCCGCAATTACTCCCTTTGCAGATACATCTCCATTTTCAGACACCAGGAGAGGTAGTTTGTCTCATTCAGACAAGATACTACAAAACTTCCTCCCATTATGCTGATGGAGTTCATGTTGCCTGCTACCACCACAAACCACTTCAAACCACAAGCCTTAATTCCTCTGGCTCTGGGTCAAGCTCTCACTGGGTTTCTCTTCACCCTGGGCCCATAACCTGTCAGAGCGTGCACAGTCTTATTATGTGGAGATAACCCAGGAGTAAACACAGTAAACAGTGGTCTATATTAAATGGTGGTTTATCTTACACTAGCTACAATATCATACACCAGGAACAATATACATACACTTGCTAATACAGCAGGATCTAACATACTACAGTTACAGCAGGAAAACAGAAGAGAGAGAACACAGCAGCAGAGCCTTCCTTTTATACAAAGCTCTTAAAGATATACAGACACTGTTTGTTCTTAAAGAGACACAGACCCTGTTGAATCATTCACATCATTACATCTTACATTGAATCAGCTGGTTAGCTTTTAAATCATTATCTTGACAAATTCCTCTATTTTTTAATTTATACTTTAATAAACTAGTTGATTGAGGACTTATCTGACTTGTCTAACAACTCTTTACAATTTTTTTTCTTTGTTCTCTCATTGTTCCTTCCTAGGATGATATCCCAAAGCAGAAAATAATAATTGGACTTGATCTGCAATTTGATGAATTGAAGTCTGATTTGTTGCTGTCAGACATGAAGAAGAAAGAACCTAGTCTGAAAATTACAGATTGGCAGAAAAGATTGATAAGGACATGAATACAAGAAATTCAGACATAATGAAACTTATAAACAAGGGATTGGATTTGCTGGAAAGATGAATCCTGTGTCTCCAGAGAGACTTTTTGAACAATGGATGGTGCAGATGCATTTACAACAGAGACTTATGGCTCTGGGAGAGGCATGTGATTGTTGGGAAAGTTCCCAATTAAAATTTTAAGGAATGGTTTTATTATTAAGAATCAAACAAGGCACCTTGATCCACAAAAAATGTCTTACATGTACCCTGACGTGCAACCTAAATGCTGGAGATGTGGTTATAAGGAGGCTTCCTATTATCATATTTGGTGGTCATGCAGAGAGATAAAAGCATTTTGGATCAAAATATGGTGGAATATCCAGAGAATTTTTAGAAGGAGGGTAAAATTTACTCCGCAATTATTTTTGTTAGGTATTGTTACAGATTGTGATACAAAGGA